AAATTTGCGCATCCCTAGTAAGGCCGGGTCTACAATTGTCGCAGGTCGCAGATCGCAGAACGTAAGCTTGCGCAAAGCACCCAGCTGACAAAAGAACCTTGGTCCATCGCCACGTCGCGGGGTGCTTTGCGCAAGCTTATGTTCTGCGATCGGATCCCTGCGACAATTGTAGACCCAGCTTAAGAGCTCGTTTGTTTATGTTTACGGTCGCGCTTAAACCGGTTTCAGTTACGGTTCACGGTCACGATTACGGTTAAACCGATTACGGTTAAACCGGTTACGGTTAAACCGGTTACGGTTAAACCTGTTACGGTTAAACCGGTTACGGTTAAACCTGTTACGGTTAAACCGGTTACGGTTAAACCGGTTACGGGTAGACCGGTTACGGTTAAACCGGTTACGGGTAAACCGGTTACGGTTAAACCGGTTACGGTTAAACCGGTTACGGTTAAACCGGTTACGGTTAAACCGGTTACGGTTAAACCGGTTACGGTTAAACCGGTTACGGTTAAACCGGTTACGGTTAAACCGGTTACGGTTAAACCGGTTACGGTTAAACCGGTTACGGTTAAACCGCTTACGGTTAAACTGGTTACGTCCTTTAACCAATTGACCGGTCACGGTTACCAGCCTTAGTAAATACAACTCTTTGAGTTTTTGCAATATATGATAATTGCCAAAACTACGTATTATATTTAACTTTTCCCCATAAAAGCTTTACTTTTTCCCATAAAGCACAATCGCATAAACCTTAATAATTACAAAGTGAGTTTTTGCAATCTAATTGCAAAAAGTATTTTGACTTTTATATTCTTTTATTAATAAGGTTTTTCAACACAAGAGTGTTGCAATAACTATTTATACAATAACCTGCTAGTCTACAAAAGTATTAGTGACACCTTTTAATGTGAATAGCCACATACAACTCTTAGACTTTTTACAATATACGATAATTGCCAAAACTATGTATAATATTTTTCTCTATAAAAGCTTTACTTTTATCCATATTGCAAAATTGCATGTTATTAAATAGTTAAACGGCGTTTAATAAATTTCTTTATTCATTTTTAATTCAGCGCCAACAACAAATTATTGTTAAATGCATATTAGGCTCCATAGTTGGATGCAAAAAGTTTAGCTCAAAACAGCAACACTAAACAGATATATAGCTTTAAAACATTATTAACAATATTTATAGAGTCATAAAACTAATTTTGTTAAAAGTGACAGTAGAGCACCGCGGTGCACCGGTTTGAATCCGCTTGACAAGCGACAGATCCGAGTTCAAACCCCGGCTGGGTCAAAACTTTTTTAAATATAAATCCACTAATTTGACTATTTCATTAGGGATATATGACCAGTACTTAGTTATTTTTGACTAATTCATTTTAAGAGAGTACAGTTTCTAAAATCACTGAAGCAATGATATTTGGTAAGTAACCGAATCGTTTATCGATCTGCCCAGGCAGGGAGCGGTTCCCTTGGAGGCGGCAGCGCGCACTGAAACGTCGCCTCTCTGTGCCGCCGTTGCCGGTTCGGGTGCCGCGGGCCTAGCCCCCGCCCCCCGATTCCCAGCCCGCCTCTCTCGCCTGCGACGTGCCTTCGAAATCATGTTACCGCCGCCGACCCCTTCCACCCCCATTCGAAGCCCGCTTTGATGTCGGAGGCGACGACATGGCTGCCTGGGATGCTGCCCCCGGACCCGAACCGACATGGCTGCCGATCCAAGCCGCGTTGCCAGATTTAAGCCAGAAAGTTTTTGTTATTACTAGAGATGGGAAAATTCCCATTTGACGAAAATTCCCAGAAACTTTCCATCGAAATTTTCCGAAAGTTTAAAAAAAAAAAAATTTATTGCCAAAATATTTTTTTTATGCCAGGGATTTGCAAAATTATATAACACATTAAATTTTTGTCAAATTTTATTAAGAAAAAATAAAAGAGTGTAACTGCCATATTATTTTTAGTATCTTTTACTTTGGAATATTCCTATTGTATACTGAAACCTACAAAATAAAAATAAAATGTTTACTATTAGAAATTCACTGCTAGTAAATCCTAGATATTACGTAAAAAAAATTAAAAGGGACAAAGTAACTAATATATAGGAATATTGAAAAGTAAAAAGTAAAGTAAAAAATAATTCAAACACTAGATTTTTTTCTTGGCATTGTGCTATGCCCACAGTAAACACACACCGGTGTGCCGACGCGCATGGTAGCTCTGTCTCTCTCGCACAATGTGACGTCATATTCGCACCTCGCCTGAATAATTCCGATTTATCTCGACGATTTACGCTACATTTTTGGCGTATCTAAAGTACTTTTTACTTGTACTTTTTACTTTTTACAATTTTTAGCATTACGAAATCGCTACCTTGAAATTACAAGGTTTTAAGTGCAGCTTCACTGTTAAATTAAAATGACTTTATTGTTATAACAATTGTAATAGCAATATGAAATAAATTGCAATGGAAAAAACCTTTTTTATATTTAATAAGTTAGGAAATAAGAATTTTTATATTTTAAAATACTTGGTACATATTTTCTAAATTAAAACACATTATTTTTTAAATAACTTTAGTTTATTTTATAATTTGCAATGGAAATAGATTATTTATTTAACTTAATTTTGTAAATAAGGATTTTTATAATTTAAAATACTTAATAGGCATACATTTTCAACATTAAAACACATTATTTTTATATAACTTGTTTATTTTTATTAAAATCTAAAGGATTTTTATATTTACTATAGTAACTTTTAAGTTATTAAATAAGGATTTTTATATTTTAAAATGTATAGGTAAGTACTAATGTATATTTTCTGAAATAAAACACATTATTTTTATTAAAAGGTGCTTTTTACTTCAAAAAATAAAATTAACAAGCCTGGTGCACAAAAATGTTACTTTTTTAAATTAGTAAACTTTGACATTTTTTTTGCAAGGGATCTTTTACAACTCTCAAAACTAATTTTTCTGTTTAGGTCGCGTAATCGAATATAAGTTCTTGTTCGACTTAAGCAGTTTTGTAAATATTTTCTTTTCTTTAGACAAATAGTTTCCATGCATCTTATGAAATTCTAGATCAAGAACTTTTGTTGCTTCCAATAGTTCCTTGTTTGGGTGCAACAAATTTCCGCGTGAAATATATTCCAACCAATCTGGTAGTTTCGTAGTGTCCAATTTTTTTGTAGGAATACCCAAATTATACTTATGTTTAAATCTAAATGCAACATACCCCGCTATATAAACTAGCATATCATCATTTACTTTTTCTTTTACAAGAAATTTATCAAATGCCGGTAGAGCCTCGTCTGAATTTTCTAACTCATACACATCTTCTTCGGGAGGGTCAGTAAAAATATGTTTGATATGTATTTCTTCATCATCCGGCTCTTTCAACCAATCCGATTCTTTTGTTAAAGAAGAAAGCATGGTTTCGGTTAAGCAAACTTCTTCATTGTCACCTTGAGTACAAAGTAAAGGCTGAAGTAGGCATAATTCCATATTTTCTTCGGTGTTTTGTATTTGTATTTAATATCAATAGGAGCGGGATGATCATTTGCTCCACCCATAGCTCTAATGTATGAAAAAAAATTTTCAAGCACATCTTGATTTAACCTTGTTGTTAAAATGTACTCGATCTTATATTTTTTTTGCAAATAATCATACATTTCTAAAAGTGATCTATTTGTAAGAAGTATTCCTTTCTGGAATGGAATAAGGGAAGAATGTTTCCCGACTCTTATTGAAATAATTAATTTAGACATGCGATCTATCACACATTTTTGATTTTCAAAGTTAACACCAAAGCCATTTTTCCCAGGGCAATTTCCTACATATTTACATCTAGAGTTTAAAACATCAAACCAATCATTAAACAATTGGATAACCTCGGCCGTTTTTCTCCAATAACTATTGATAGGCATAAGTTTATTTTCCCCACAATATTGTACTGCCTTTGCGACTGAATTTGAGAACACCTGAACTGCTGGTCGAACACGTTGCCTTTCAGAACCTTTAAGACTTAGGTGATATTTTGTCAACTTATGTGCATATGTTAGTTCGGTATTTGAGACAGTAATAAGCTGTTCCAAACAAAATTTATTTACAAAACTTCCCTCTAATACAAAACCACCATCTAATAAATGATTCCGAGCAAGTTTAAGTAGATGTGGCACATCGGCAAAAACATAAACATGTAGAGAAGTATCACAAGGGTGATTGAAATAACAATTTGCATCATACCGGATATTTAGATTGGACCAAAGACCAGTGTTTCCTGTACCCATGTCACTTACAATTCCTACTACTATATAACCAGCTTCATATAGTTTTGATATTATGTCATAAATAATCTCTTTTTTCATTGGTTGATCGAAGTCATAGTATACGGGTTGTTTCCAACTTCCAATAATTCCCCTAGCCATCACTACTTGACAGGATTTATTAGGCCCTATTATCTGCTCTTCTTTCTTATCAATTCCTATTCTGTTCGACAAATAAATTTCATCAAATGACAATATGCAAAGACGTTGGACTTCATTAAATTCGACAGACTTTTTTTTCATTAAAGCAATTACACTTTTTAAAACACCTGAATTAATCTCAAAAGTTGCAGCCCATTTTCTTAATGTTGAAAGAGCAGGTAGTGGGTAGTTATTTGCCCTAAGATACCGGTAAGCTTTTGGGCTTACACTTCGAAGAGATATCGCTGCAGCAATATCTTCTGGACACCAATTCTTAATTTTTTTCCCTGGATTTAATAAACGATTTATTTGGCCGGGAGTGAAAACCTGAGACAGGAGACCTTTAAATGTATTATGTTTATTTGTCTCACTTGTCTGTAGGGTTTCAATTTGTTTTACAAGTTCGACTTTCTCTTTTTTAAGGAATTCAACTTTTAGTTTGAGCCCCGCGATTTCTTCTTCATATTCTCTTAAATTTGGCCTACAAAAAGTATTGGTAAAATGCTGGTATTCTATTAAAAAAATACTTACATGTTTTCTTGAAACTCCATCGCTACATTAACAGTGTTTGCAACATAAGTGGGTTCTTCTAAAGCCTGGCATTTTGAAGATGATGGCTGGCTCAAAATAGAGTCTACAATGTCTTTATTTTCTGCCTTTTGTTTCCTCTTATGCAGTCGCTCTGATCTTTCGCCAGGTGTAACGGCCAGTTTTTTTCCAGGAAGGTTTAGTGTTGGACGTGCATCCTGCTTTAAATTGCGAGCATTTTTGGGAGTGTAGTTTAATAATTTTTGCTTTAGAGGAATTTGAAATGAGTCAGCTTCAAAATGAATAGAGCACACACATGCTAAAAAAGGTTATTTTAAAATTAAAAAATGGGTGTAATGTACATTTTGGTACATAAGAAAACCATTTTCTATTAGAAAACTTTTTCTTGTATACCAAAATGTCCACTCTAACCTTAAAAAAGCAACTTTAATACGTCATTCGATTTTACTTTTCATAAAAATATTTTAGCGCTAGGTAAAATGCTTAAAAATAAATGTTTCACATAGATAACAATAAAGATTTACTTACCACTTTTTAAATTTATCTTATCTTTTCGTCTACACGCTACAACCCATTCTTTGGCAATGTCGCTTTTAGGAAAGGAAAAATATTTAATTTGGGTTCCTTTAGTATTTTTGCTTAAATTACGGCAACCTGCCACAGCACATCCAGGCATTTTTGGTCAAAAAATTAGATAAACTCACGGTAAACACAAAACGTCGTATTTCTGCACGCAAACCCATAGAACATAATGCAAAACAATGCAGAAATATCGCGATCTGGTGCGAACGTGACGTCATGCGCAAAATACGACTAAACTGTGTAGGCTGTGTAGCATACCGGTGTGTGTTTACTGTGGCTATGCCTATAAATAAACAACAAAAATATAAGAATGATTTTAACTTTGTTTATTGTTTTTATTTTCTTTACCTTTTTTTATTCATTGAGGTTAGGTAACATAACTTACATTATTTATACTTCTTATTCTGTTGTTCTGCTTTAAATTAATACACATTAAATTCTTTTTCAAAGTTTCTTGGCCTTGTATCATGGCCTTAACGAAAATCAGCGGTTAAACAATTCAATTGTTACAATTGACATTTAAATGAAAAAAACCAAGGAAAGTTTCCAAGGAATGTTTCCGGTAGCTTAAAAGAAACTTTCAAAATGAAAATAAATTCCCAATTGGAAACTTTCCAAAACAGAAAGTTTCCTTAAAATGGAAACTTTCCGATTCCCATCTCTAGTTATTACTTACACTATCAAAGAAAAATATTTTACCGAAGGTTTTGTAAAGGTAATATACGATTTTGTAAGCATTTTGTTAATTTCAAAGGTTAATATTTAACAATATATTTCGTTGAAAAAGTACACGTGATTTCAGGCAGAAAATCAAAACATTTCCCACTGATAATACGCATCAACAAGTTCAACTGACTTCAGCGCATGCAACTTATGTTTCTGCTTACTTTATTCTAATTCGTAACGTGTTCGTAACAACTGTCCAACTGTTTATTACCAGGAATCTGTTATTATTGTTATTCAGATTCCTAATCTAAGCATTTTAGGTAAAATCGTAGAGCTTTGAAGAAATATTACTTAAGTAAATATTTTGTTAAATTAACCTTGAAAATTTATTTAATAAGTTTTATTTATGTTATTTTTCCTCTTAAGTTTCAACACTTTAAAGTATTATAAGGGAGGTTATTTTTACGAAAGAAAATTACTTATAAGTGTATTTCACCTAAAGGAAAATTTAACGGTAGATAATTTTAACGTCAGAATGGTAAATGTAAATGTAAACCGTAAATAATTTCTATTCGCCTGGTATTTTTTAGGGTTATTAGTGGTAATAAATACTATTAATATTGACTAAACAAGAAAAAATATGCTTACAGTGAAAAATAAAACATAAAGGGATAATTTTGTTCAGGTCGCCATAATGAGTTTTTAAGATGGATTCCATTACTTATATAAACATGTATATAATATTTGTTCATAAATATTTTTCTAAAATATAATAAGAAAAGTTTTATTTATTAAAAAATGATTAAAACTAAATGATTTTTAAAAGATTTTATAAAATTTTGTAGGTTGTAAGTTTTGTTGAATTATTATCCAAGCAATATTTTTTCTTAAAACCGTAAAATATTTAGACAGCATATAATTTTTAAGATGTATCGTGCCTATTTTTATCAATAAAATAATGTGCGTTTGAGTTTTAATGCAAAATATTATTAGTTAGAAGTTATATTTTTTAATTTTACTCTAGAGTGGCCTTTATATTACTTTGAAAGTACCATTTCGTAAAAAAAAAATTAAAAAAAAACCGAAATTACGAATGTCAATGCTTTAGAAAGGGAGAGCAAACAGTTAGTAATTTTAGCGTTATTTTTAAGTAAATTTGTGGTATTTATATCGTTTTTATTACGTTATTCTCTTAGTAGATCAAAAAGGATATTATGTAGGCCTACCGGTAAAATAACAAAATAAACCATTCCCCAAATTTAGTAATTTTTTGTATCTATACCGTTATAAAACGTTTTTACCGTAAAAAATACCGTAAATTTGTAGTTATTTAAACTTAAAATGCTGCTTGGGAATACCTATTTAACTCGAGTGTGTAAAGTGCAAAGTATCCGAAAAAAGATGCCATCACTGGTTTTCAAACTGAAATTAGGTGATACAATGAAGTGGGTTAAAGTAACGAAATACATCAGTAAGCGTTGTAGTGGTACTGATAATTATATTGTACCAAATTTCTTTATAAATTGATTATTTCAGAGTGGTGTGTTATTTAATTGTGTGTATGTTATTTTTATGATAATTTATGAAGGTATTTTGTTTATGAAATTGATTAAAAAAGCAACCTTCCTTATCAAAATTCTTTTCATTTATAAGTTCCCAATTTCCAACAAATACTTATGTTAATGGGCCTACAAAAAGTTTTGTAAAAATAAGGTGCTTTTTGAAAATTACAAGAATTATGGTTAAAATATTGATATAGGATTTTGTTATTAAATCTACAAAATGATTGTTATAATTATAAACTACTAATTCAATTATTTAACAGATTAAAGTTGGTTGTAAACTTAACATAAAGTTATGTGGACCTGGATTAACATAAAATCTAGTTAATATTTGGTTAGAATTAACAAATATTTTTTTACTGTGTAAGCTTGTGTTATTTATAAACTCGAAAATCACAATATTTTTTCGAAGGTCACATCTCGAATATTTCAATGATTTTTATTCATTTTGGTGAAACAGTGTAATTGACACTAAATTATATCAAGTACTTAAGTAACTGTTATTATTGTTATAATGATACTGATAATGGAAAATATATGTAAGTTGACATATGTATGTTTGAGAACTCCCATTTTCATAACATTATCAGTATGTAATTTTGCACATTATATACAAATTTTCGTTTATTATTAATAAATTTGTATTGATTATTCAGAATTACTGTACTGATAGAAAAATTGAGAAAAAATAGTGCAAAGTGCAAAAATCGTGCACAATAATGAATTTTATTCCAAACCAGAAATATTACTGACAAAAACCTAAAAAACTGCATGAATGGTATGAATAAATATCACCCTTAAAATGTCCAATCTTCAAACGGTATCTCCGATACGCATTACATAGGCTAACGAAGTTTTCTAAACTCTTTCAAGTCGTGTAATTGGGTTCCGTGCAAAAGTGATTTTTAGACGGTCTGTTTTACGTACAAAACAGCGTACATATGTCGAACTCTCATTATATTTCAAACTATGCAAATTGACCTTTGTCATCAATCTTTGTAAAGTTAACTTTGGTGTTTCGAAAGGATAATTAAATTTTGTGTAGGAAAACTTACATTGAATGTGTTTGTTTGATAAAATGTAGGTTTTCGATATTTTTAAAATTACGGCTATAAACTTTATTATGTTTTGCACTCAAAACTGGGGCTCCCAAATTTCGGGAACTAGTTGTACCCAGTGGGTACTACAAAGGACTTTTATGACTTACAGTTCACTTTTGCATAATATTTTCCAAAATTGCATAATTTTCGCTACCTCAGTCGACAATGTTACGCAATACTTGACATTCTATTGCCTTAAAATGAACGGTACACAATAAGTTCTGGGAAGAAGAATGGACCGTCGAAAAATTGCGTAAGTTGTTAAGTTTTATAGTATAGTATATTGGGTAATAATGTTATATAATATTGGCTTAGTAGGCTTTTAGGAATTGCTAATATTTAGTTATACAAGGTGAAAATTTTAACCTATTCATAAAATAAAGTTTTATTTTTTTAATTGTACCAAAATAAAATAACCTTTGCCACCTTAGTTTTTGAGTTATTAATTTTTTTTCGTTAAAATTTGACAAACGCGCCTCAATCATAAATAGCTCATAACTTGTTATTAAGTTTGCGAATATGGGGGTAAAATTTTTGGAATCCTAAAACATTGTTTAAAATATTCTTTATCAATGTTTAACATTTTTCTACAAATGCATGTTTTTACATAAACAAATCTTAAATTAAAAAACCTTTCAATTAATAGTTTCAGAGATATTTAACAATTTCTAAAATTTTAAATACTAAAGTTAATTTTTTTTATCTGGACGCGGCAACGTTGCAAATTTAGGGATTTGCTTGGTAAATACGGAACCAAAATTGGTTGCATTGATTAAAACAAACTAAACTATAGTTATATAGTTACATTTAATGTAATTATAATGTAATTGTGGTTATGTTTAAATTATTGTAGGTTACATTGAACGGTTGTCAAGTAGAGTCAAGTCAAAATTCGTACACTGAAAAAAAATATTCCTATATCAAATAAATTTATTTGATTCAAAACAGTATTTGTCTCATATATAACGAAGAGAATATATTCTTTAAAATAGTAAAGTATTTTCTCAATTCACGTTGATTTACTTCAAGAAGAAAAGTCTTAATGTAAGAAAATTAAATTTCTTTAAATAAAACTTTGATTGTTTAAAAGCAAGAATATATAATTTTAGAAATAAGGCAGCAATATTTACTTAACTCAAGAAAATGTATTTTCTTTAACCAAATAAATGGTTGTTTTAAAGCAAGAATAGGTATGTTATTTTAAAAATTAATTAGTGATACTTACTTAATTCAAGAATAAATTTTCTTATAACAAAAACACATTGAAATAAGGCCATAATTTTCTTAAATCAAGATGTTTTCTATAACCCAATATTTTTTTAAATTAATAGATACAAGATATAAAATTTTATTTCATTGATTAAAAAATAATATTTATTTTTAAAACATTACAAGAAGTATCGTTAAAAATAAAATGTACCTATCTATCTTAATTTTAAGCTACTTTTAGGCTAAAAGTTTTGGCAATGTTTCAAAAAATGAATAAAATTTTAAATAATGATATGTAGGTCTATTAACTAAAAATTATTTATTTTAATAATAAAAACATCTTTATATTTAGGAATATTACTGCAAAAGAAATAAAATTTAAAATAAAAATACGTCTAAACACTTGAATGGGACTGGAGTAATTTTAAATATCCTGTAATTTTTTAAGGATTGTTGTCTAATCTTAAACAAAACTTTATATTTAAATACTTACGGATTATTCAAACTTGAGCCAAACTTACTGAAGGGCAAAAGTATACGTTGTATCGGTTCTAGGT